GAAGATTCCTTTTTTTGCTATAGATTTTTATGGTACCTTTGTGAATTAATGAGACACACAATTGAGATGTTCTATTGCTCATTGAAAGTACTGTATGTTAGGGATAGAGTTAAAGATATGAAGGCTGAGACAGAAATGGATTTGGGGGAAAACTTTATTTTCAATTCTTTTTTTTTCCTCCAATAAAAGAGAAGGCCAAAATGAAAGCAATCTTCCCAAAGGGGAAGAAAGAAATCCCTCTCAATTTTTTCTTTGTTTGTTTCCTGGGTCTTTAAATATGTTGATAGAGATTCAGGAATCACCAAACCTGTAGTGTATGTAGCTGGGCCTCCCTGATAATTATAGATTTATTACGTTTATATCCTACCTTCTGTTCAGGAGCTGAAACTTGTTTATAGAATGTTTTCTTCTCCAGTGCTTTGCCAACAGTTCTGTGAAGTAGGCTGGGCTGAGAGAAAATATCTGACTCAAAGTCATTTAATGACTTTCTGTCACTGAGGGAGAATTTGAACCCCGGTGTCCCCCGGTTACAATCCAGTACTTTAACTAGCACAACATCCTGGATCTCTAGCTACCAGAATTACAACTTGGAATATCTTACTGATTGAAACATTTTTAAATTAATGACTGACTGAGTCCACCTATACTGGTGAGTGGCCTTTTGTACTATTTGGAAGGACAATTTGGCCCAGAAAATGATCTGAACAATAAAGTCTTCCTGTTGCTAATATATTTTTATGTAGTCCCCTATTTGCATAGCCTTGACAAAGCTAAAGGCAATGACAAGGCTACAATAGTATCTTCAATGGGATCTTTCATTATCAAGATAAATAAGCCAAGTATCATAGACAGGTTGTAAATTAACATCATTTTTTACTGCAAAACGGGCTATAGCAGAGAGTAAATATCCTTGATGAGCAGGAGCTGCACGAAACCTTGGCAATGAAGTTCAATGTAGGGGAATTATCTTTTTTTAAAAAAAAAATTAACAGCTATGAATTATTTATGATAGGATTATCACTGCAGTTTTATTTGTTTCCTACTTTAAAATGGTGGGAAATGGAGCTTTCAGTTTTCAGCAGACATCCTGAAAGGGATCTAAGGATCAGAGGCTTTTGAATTTCAGTTGCTAGATGCCTGGATAAGAAGTCTTCTCTTATAGAGGATGCATATTTTTGTCATTCTGAGGTGGGGTTTTTTTTTAAAGACAGTAATGGGTAACAAAGCCTTTGACCGCTCACTGGTAAAATAAAATAAAAGTAAGTAAGAATTGTAGATCTATTCCTAAGCATCAACTTCTATTTTAAAGCTCTGCTTGGGACCTCTGGCAAATCTTTATATTCTTGGACCTTTCTTTTAAACTGCACGTAGTTACCTTGTTTTGTTATTTACAGCATATGAACTACTTCACTAACTACTATAACGGGACTCTGAATGAGCTGTGGGACCTCCAACTGCAATCCTTAAACCATTTGCATTAAAGTAAATAAAATGCAGAAAATGAAGTAAACCAGATTCCAATATGAAAGGGGAAAAAAGCACAAATAGCTGTTGTGTGTAAAATACTCATATGGATTTGTAAAGCATAATGCTATAAATATAGAACAAATAGCTTTAACTGGATGTAACACAGGCAGTATAGTGGCCCCCAGAGTGAATATTCAATGCAGTTTGTGCAGAAAACATACCACTACAAAACTGCCTGCTGATATATTATGCATTTCAGCCTGGTTCTGAATTTGTTCAGGATAGCAACTTTCTCTTGGGGCTCTGAAACTAATAGTGGCTAAGAAACACAAACAATTTACAAGTATTCAAGAATAACTGCAGGAATAATTCACGAGTTCATTGAAGCAGAAAGTGTATATAAGGCAAACAGGTCTTTAACAAAAAGATAGGTTAAATGTTTAAATGTATGCTAAAGAAAGCATCAAGTAATAGTAAATCTGTAGCAGATATAAGCAGCTTATAGCATAACAGATGTGAACTATCATCCCCGGCAGCCCAACAATCAGTATGGCTGGCGATATGAGATCATATTTGTAGTTCAGCAACATCTGAAGCATCAAAAGTTGCCTAGACAGTGGAATTAATTATCCTAGGCCTAGAATAACAAGCCTCTAACTTACTTATTTTCACTTCTGAAAGTAAGCTTAGGAAATGAATGAAAGATTGAAATGAGTTGGAAAAGAATCCATATTCTCTGGCAAAATCTTTTCTTTCGCCCAATGATTATGTAAGCAAGATTAAGATTGCATATGGAATACAAAGTCCCAAACAGAAACACAATAGCCTGTGAATTAGTCAAGAAAGTCAGAAGGATGATATGCCGGAACAACTGGAATTCTCTTTTTATGTAGACAGGGGCTATTTTGTCAGAACACCAACCCCAGAATAACAATTCTATAATAATAACTTCTCATATTAAAATACACGAATAAGCCTTTATTTATCAGCATACGTCCAAGGTCTAATGCTAATAATTCTGCTTTTCTTTTTATGTTGGACAGACTCAGGATCTTTCACATATCCTGCTCACAGATACAAAGTACAACTGTTGCTGCTGCTACTTATCAATACATTATACAATTATGTAAAATGTTAAGTAGTTTTCTATTAATTCGGTTCAAAGAGAGATGAAATGTATTCATCGGATCCAATGCGCTCTAGTCTAGAGTGAAAAGTGAGACAGGAGAAGAGTCAAACCATCATGAAATACTTGAGCAAATGGAACAAGCTTCTCTTCATTCAACTGAACACTTCCTGTTCAGCATTTGCTACCATGTGTAAGAGGGCTTCAACAAAAGAAGGGAGGGGTTTCTTTTTTGAAGTACACTTCTATACATGTCTAGATTTCAGCAATCACTACTGGTTTCAAGGAACTTACTTCCAAAAGGTATACACAAAGCTGCAGACTATGATTATTTCTGCATAGCAAAAACAAGGATAGCATAGTCTTAAAGGAACATTATGATCTAGTTAATACATTACACTATCTCACCATTTGTTTACGAAGTCCAGTTAACTGGATTCTTAAATAAGCTCATTGTGGCTTATAAACCATAAACCATGGTCTATAAACCATAATGGCTAGACTTAGTGAACACATACTAAAACAGAACCAAACAAACATATGATACCTTAGCAAGCACATCTTTATTTGGATTTAAATTTTTGTTGAAATAAAGGGAAAGTTTAAGACCAAATTATAACAAATCCTCATCTCTGAATAGTAGAATTGGTTCTTTGACCCCTAAAGAAGGCAAAGAACATTTTATAACATCTTGGTTTTTGAAATGTTCAATGTCTTGAAATGCAAGATGTTTAGGAAAAAAAGGTTTGCTGTCTAACTTATAAATAATAAAAAAGTACTGCTGTTCAAGACATTACAAATACAACTAGAAAATCTGTAGCTATCATGTTTGATCTGCAAAGGATACAGTGAATATTTAACTCTTTGCTGCCATCTAGTTGGTGTTCTGATTTTTGTGCCTAGATGTACGGTAGTCCTATATACCTTCTGAATTAATTGTCTATTTGACTGTGTGTAACTGTATGTTTTAGTATCTTACAGGGACCCTAAAATTGCCTTCTAAGTTTCACACCAAATATGGTTGCTGATATATTTCTCTGCTCCACTGTCTTCTCTATACCAAATATGGTTCCTGATATATTTCTCTTCAACTTTATTAGAGCCTACCATCCTCACAGTAGCTACTTCATCACCCTCAGTGCGACATGCCAGTTGTTCCAATTCACTTGACTGGTAGAAACCACAAATAAAAATCAATGCCCACAGTCTGGAGGATACTCTGCATTGCCTTTCAAAATTAATGCCACCATTGTCCTCATGTATGTGCAACAATCACTCTCTCTTTTGTTTCTGGGAGTAAGGACCTGCTTTAAATATCCTTGGCTGGCTTCAGTTTTAGTCTGGCAGCTCAGGATTTTCTAATATGCAGGAGCTCATCCAATTTGGGGAGCCTGTCAAATCTGACGAAGACAACTGGGTCAAATAAATATTTTAAACACAGATTTTTCATTTACTCAGGAATAATAATAATTCCGGCTCTGTTGATGCAAATTGTTTACATGATCAAAACCTTATACTGAAACCCAACAGATTATCTCCTGCTAGGATATGACAGGTAGCAGGTAAAAAACGGGAAATAACATCTGAATTAATTACATTCCCAAAGATTTTCTCCTTTCCCCTTCCTTGCTAGCTTCCTCTATAGAAGGTCAAAGTACAGACCTGATAAAAGTGGGGGGTGGGGGAAGTGTTAAAGGAATCAGAGGCCAGGTAATATATCAGAGAGGGGGAAAAAAAGAGGGGTGGTGTCAAAGTGAAAATGAGATCTAGTGCTACACAAAGTTCATCTTCATAGTCTGAAGGCCCAAGGCTTCAATGGCAGAGATGATTTGAATAAAGCAGAACATTCAAAGATAAACCCAGCAGAGCTGTCTTGTTCTCGTAAAAGGATGCAGTGATTAAACTTTGAAGTTTTTAATAAGTGGATTTCTTGCAGGATTCTGATGCACACAGAAAACAAGCTACCGGGGTAACGTTTCTAGTGTAATCTCCCTGACGCGCTAGCTTTCTGCACGCAGGGATCTTTTCCTCTCTTTCACAGAAAATCACGCCCAGGTCCTCTTACCTAGTTTTGGGGCGCAACAACAGAGGCGCGGGGTTACCATTCATCCGAACGAGAGGGGTCCGTCCTAGGCTACGCGGATGTCGTCGAGCCGCAAGAGTTGTTGTTGTTGTTGTTGTTGTTGTTGTCGCCACGCTCTTTCTTAAACCCGCCCGACTGAGCGAACTTTCCTTGCAAGAAGCTCGCGAACCCACCCGCACGCGTGGCACCAAATCGCCCTCCAGAACGGCTGAGAAGCAAAGCAGAAGCCGGAGGGACGACGAGGGCCCTGGAGGAGACGGGAGTCCGTTCCCCTCTTCCTCTTCTCCCTCCCCCCAGCCACACTCACGCTGCGTTTCGCCTTACCTTCGCTCGGTTTACACCGAAACCCCGTGGAAATGAAAGCAAGCAGCCCCACGGAAGGAGCCACGGCGGTGCTCGCTTACGCGCTGCTGGGCGAGAGGGGCTCGCACTCGCCTCGCCGGCTTTTTGCCCCCACTCCCACCCCCTTTCTTCGGCGTTAAAAAGAAGAAGCGAAGTCCCACGTTCACGCCTCCCGGCAGAAATTCATGACGCTCCCTAGCCGGGTCCCATCCGGCCAGAAAGAAGAACCGGAGGCTTCTGGTTTCCAAGAACAACCTGAGCCCTGGCGCTTCGGAAGGGAGGAGCGACCCTGCCGCCACCTCCCGCAGAGGGCCAGAGGGCTTCACGCGGCGCTGGTTCCTCCTCTCCGTCGTGGCCTGAGGTGGGAGGCAGGGAGGGAGGGCCTGCCTGGGGGCGTGGATGGCGCGGGATTTGTCCTCCGGTGTCAACGGTGCCATATTTTGCTGTTCGGAAGAAAAGTCAGGAATTCAACAGATGCAGCCGTCCAAGGCTGTAGCGCAGATGCCATGGAAAGCAATGCGATGGTGCCCACTGGCCTAAAACGAATTAGAGAAAAAGGGGGCGGCGGAGAGAGAGAGGTTAATTTAATCAGTGATCACTATGGAAAGCGATTAAAAAAAAAACAAAACCCAGATTCAACTAGGTACTCGTTCTTGAGTTTCATAATTATACAGGCTCTGATTTAGATCTGTTGTTTTCACTTTATCGAATTATGCAACTTCAAGGAAGCTTCCCTTTTATCCTACCTCTCCATCTGACAGGTAATTTGAGGACAGAATCAGATTAACCGCCCAAGTGGTTTCCACGAACCTCAGAGCGTTAATGACTGACGGGCTGCAAAGATTATAAATCCTTTCCATTCCCCACCAGTTAATTAGAACTGAAGAAGCTTCTTGGTTGAGAAATGAAATGTCTTCAAGGAAAAGAAAAATTAGAATAGAATAGAATATATTTTTTTTTTATTGGCCAAGTGTGATTGGACACACAAGGAATTTGTCTTGGTGCATATGCTCTCCATGTACATAAAAGAAAAGATACGTTCATCAAGAATCGTAAGGTAACTTAATGAGGTAACTTAATCGTAACTTAATGATAATCGTAGGGTACAAATGAGAAAGCCCAGTTGCCTTTTTTAAAAAGCACCTTTGGGTAACCATGATCTGGATGACTGAGAACCTCCGTAGACATTTACCTGTCCACACTTACAGTAAAAAAAGATCTGGACCCTCTGCTACCAATCTATTTCTACCTTGCCTAATTTGGATACAGAATCTTCAATAATCAGAATGTGAGTGATCACAGCCCATGTGGATTATTTGAATCACAAAAACTGTTTTTGTTGCTATTCCCTTTCCAGTTAATTTATCTAAGTTTGCTTGCAAGGTGCCTACCTACATTCAGTTGAGGACTTATTGATTGATTGATTGATTGATTACATTTATATGACCATCCATTTTAAGCAACTCTGGACAGTTTACAACATCTTTGCATCTATTAGAAGGGGGTATGAAACTCAAAACATCACCGGGCTACATGAGGACCTGTTCATTACTCTGAAAGCTGCAACACTGAAGTCTTTTCAAAGATTGGTACAAAAATCCCTCATGAATCAAAATGATTCTCATTGATAAGAATGGGAATGTACAGTCTGATGGATGGATTCAGTTGTGACCAGGTATTGTAGAATGCTGTTTGTTGGCATGGGTATCCTGAACTAAGAATAGAGGGAAGGATGCTGAAATAGAATTGGTCCAATTGATTTATGTATGTGGAATTGATGTGTGTGTATGTATGTATGTATGTATGTAGCAGAGGTGTGTTTCAGCAGGTTCTGACCAGTTCTGGAGAACCGGTAGCGGAAATTTTGAGTAGTTTGGAGAACTGGTTGTAAAAATTCTGACTGGCCCCACCCGCATCTATTCTCTGCCTCCCAAGTCCCAGATGATCAGGAGGAAATGGGGATTTTGCAGTAACCTTCCCCTGGAGTGGGGAGGGAATGGAGATTTTACAGTATCTTTCTCCTGGAGCAGGGTGGGAATGGAGATTTTACAGTAACCTTCCCCTGCCACGCCCACCAAGCCATGCCACACCCACCAAGCCACACCCACAGTAAAAAATTTTGAAACCCACCACTGGTATGTATGTATGTATGTATGTATGTATGTATGTATGTATGTATGTATGTATATGGAATTAGCTGGTAGTTGGGGTACTTTATCCTTTGCCTCAAATAGCAAGATATTGAAACTTACTGGTAGATATTTAACTCTACTGGTTGAAAAACCAGTAGAGTTAAAATCAAAGATGTTTGGCTGATACCTTTCAGCCATTCACTACTCTCAAAAAGTGGAATATTTTCTTTCTGTACCAGAATAATCTTGCTAAATTCATTTTGAACTGGAAGAATAGGGTAGATGCTATTGAAAGAGAGAAGAATACATGAACAAGAAAGCTCTGATCTATCCAATATTAAATCTTGTTAAGATGAACAAGAACAAGGAAAATGCATTTCTCTCTGTCCCTCCCTCCTTCCGTCCCTCCCCTCTCTCTCCCTCCCCGTGTGTGTTTGTATGTGTGTTTGTTCAAATTCACTATCTCCTGGTTTCTTCCCTGGTGCCTTAATGTCTTACACCAATCTGGGCCTCATATAGAGGTATGTGGCAAGGATTCTTTCAGAAACATCACTTTGAATTACACAGGAAAACTTAACTTTGGTATAAGTGAAAGATTTCACTTCAAAATAGTCAATTTCCAGGAACCAGCCTAAGACAAGTAATTCTGCAAGACATCTCGTCTGGACTATTGTAACGCTCTCTACATGGGGCTCCCCTTGGGGTGCACCCGGAGGCTCCAACTGGTGCAGAATGCGGCCGCGCGGGGGATTATGGGAGCGACTGGGCGCTCCCATGTGACTCCTCTCCTGCGCGAGCTGCATTGGCTTCCGGTGGACTTCCGGGTGCGCTTCAAGGTGTTGGTGACCACCTTTAAAGCGCTCCATGGCTTAGGGCCGGGGTACTTACGGGACCGCCTTCTGCCACCAATTGCCTCCCACCGGCCAGTTCGCTCCCACAGAGAGGGCCTCCTCAGGGTGCCGTCGGCTAGACAATGCCGGCTGGCGACCCCCAGGAGGAGAGCCTTCTCTGTGGTGGCACCTACCCTTTGGAACAATCTACCCCCAGAGATACGAGTGATCTCCGACCTCCGGACCTTTCGTCGGGCCCTAAAAACTCATCTCTTTCAGTTAGCTGGTCTCTCTTGATTTTATGATTTTATGGTTGGTTTTAAATTTTGATATGGATTTTAAATTGATAAATTTTAAACTATGGGCCAAATTTAATTATTTTAAATCTATTTTTAATCGTATTTATGTATAAATGTTTTTATTTTGGCTGTTCACCGCCCTGAGTCCGAAAGGAGAAGGGCGGTATAGAAATTCGAATAATAAATAAATAAATAAATAAATAAATTAACAAGTTTGGGCATACATTTTGTGAGTGTGCCACAGGAAATGATTTTGGCCCAAACTACTAATCAGAAATTAGAAATTATAGCAATCTTCACCCACTGAAATGGTAGTTTAAGACTGTAATTTGGAAAGAATGGATGCAAAGGTACAAGAGACAAATTAAAGAAACTTGCAGACTCACACAGAAAGGACTGTCCATTCAAAAACATCTTGGAGAGAAGAGCTAACAATGAAGGCAGCTTTGGATAATATGATTTAAAGGCATTGTAAGCTACAACTGCTAAATCAATAAAGAGAAATAAATAAGAAATAAAAATAATATCCCACAGCTGGGAGAGTTTGGATATCAGATTACTCATGCAAAATGTTGGGCCAATCATTTATAGAAATGAATACATAGATAAATAAGACCAAACAAGAAAAGATATGAATACAAATATTAGTTGCAAATGTTTGAAAAAACAAGCAGTATCCAAACAACAGGCAGCTGGGACAAAGGATTTCAATTCTACAAAAATGACTTTCTAAGTTCAGAAGAAATTTCCCTCCAAATTCAGTGACCAGTGGTGGGAGGAATTATTCTGAATGGTAAAGTATATGTATGTATATACCATTAAAACAAGCAAAACACAAAAATGGTACTACAGATAGTCCTTGACTTACAACAGTTCATTTAGTGACTGTTCAAAGTTACATTATTACTGAAAAAAGTGACTTATGATCATTTGTCACACTTCCAATCATTGTAGCATCACCGTGGTCAAAATTCAGGCGCTTGGCCACTGGTTCATATTTATGACTGTTGCAGTGTCCCAAGCAGTGGTGGGTTCCTCCCGGTTCAGTCCGGTTCGGCCAAACCGGTAGCGGTGACGATATGACGTCACCGAACCGGTTCTCCCCCCCACCCTCCCAACCCCCCACCCACCCACGTTATTCTTACCTTTTATTTGGTCCCACCCCCAATCTATTGCTGCCTCCTGAGTCCCAGCTGATGACTAGAGGGAAAAAACTGTTTAAACTCTTGCCTTGGGGCTTCAAAGGGCCATCCTACAGCTGATCAGTGTTAAAAGCAAACAAATGAGTTGGGTCGTAAGTGCGAGGACTGGTCGTAAGTGCGAGGACCTCCCAGAAATGACTGACCAGCTAGCCATGCTCACCTAGTCACATGACCTCCAAGCCACACCCACAAAATAAGCCACGCCCACAGAACCGGTAGTAAAAAAATTTAGAACCCACCCCTGGTCCCAAGTCATGTGATCACTTTTGGCGACCTGACAAGCAAAGTCAAGGGGGAAGCCAGATTTACTTAACAACCATGTTACTAACTTAACAACTGAAGTGATTCATTTAACAACTGTGGCAAGAAAAATAGTAAAATGGGACAAAATTAATTTAATAAATGTCTTACTTAGCGACATAAATATAGGGCTCAATTATAGTCATAAGTTGAGGACTACCTATATTACGCCTATCCATCCCTGGATTTTTTTAAAATTGGTTTTTGGTTTGTAAATATATTCTTATTGTGTATTAACACCAATTACTTTTAATCAATTAACATCATAGCTACATTTTCCCTAACAAAACCTTATTTAAGCATTCTTAATCTGAGCACAGTGCCCAAGGAAGAACATTCTCTGTGTATTGAAATATAACTTATACAATGGCTACTCTCACTGATTATAGGTACTGTGTGCAAAATGAAAGCCTGGTGATCAATTTATTATGTGGTAAGCCCAGGAATGATGCTAAGAAATATAATACTAATGCACACAAACATACATACTGTGTATTGACTTCAAGGCTTCAATAAAATGGTCATGATTTAATCTTTCTTCAATTACATATGGTTGCAACTCATCAAAATACTTTATGGAAAATACCTTCAGAATCCATAGATAGTTATGACAGCTATTGAAGGCAGGACTCTTTCTGTGGCTATATAAATGCTTATTCCTTGAGTCCTTGAGTCAGCTGAAAAGTATTCTGACATAAATTGTGCTGGTCTGACAGCTGAGCTGCTTG